TCTCCTCTCGACATCGGCATCGGGCATCCGTCTCTCCCTCCTTCTCGACATCTCTCTCCTCTCCTCTCCTCTCCTCTCCTCTCCTCTCCTCTCCTCTCGTCATCGACATCGGCATCTCCTCTCCTCTCCTCTCCTCTCCTCTCCTCTCGACATCGGCAATCTACCTCTCCTCTCGACATCGGCATCGCATCTCCTTCCTCTCCTCTCCTTCTCCTCTCCTCTTCCTCTCCTCTCCTCTCCTCTCCTCTCCTCTCCTCTCGTCATCTACATCGAGCATCGACATTCTCCTCCTCCTCTCTCTCCTCTTTCTCCTCTCCTAGACTTTCCCTGGTCTCTCTAGACGAAAGTTGGGGGGGGAGGTGTGGTCGAAAATCTTGTTTCCGAATCTAACTCATTACACACTACTACTCTAATTATTCCCTTTCGATGTCTCTTTCACGACTCTCGTTTAACAGGGAGGTGAGAGTAAAGTAAGTTTCTCGGTATTCCATCACCCAATCGTGAATGTTTACGCGTGTTTAGTTACCATAGCTAGTCGGCCCACTGTCGAGTATTTATCTTAGTTTCGTTATAAAGTCCCACATAATTATTCGCGACGATCATCTCCCGAATCCCCTCGAAAAGAATTTACCATAAACCGATTAGCATTACCCAGGTTCGGGCAATAAGTGTACGAGATGAAAGGAAGGTTTCGATTTACCAGTTGATTTTTGAGGTGTGGATGTAGGAAACTCCAGGTGAGTATGAGTTAGTTATTTGAGACAGAAATTGTCCGGCACGAAACGGGTAGTCGTACCCATTTTATGGGTGGCTCATCTGAGTTATATTTTTATATTCTAGGTATGACTGCATTTTCGGACTGGTTTTGATGAAAAAAAATTCTAGACTTTACTGAACTATTATACCATTATTTTCGTCAAATTTCAAAAAAAAATCAAAAAAAAAAAAATTAACATACGGTTACAGGAACCAAACCTACTCAGAAAGTTAATTTCACATAACCGACACTTTCTTGTGTTGTAAACGTGAGTTTTTTCTCTGCCGGGGTTTCGACGGTACAGGCTAGAGCACGTTCCAGTGTCTTCTGTAGGAGTCCCCAGGTAGAACTTCTTTTCGCGGTCGAGCCCCAGGAAGCCGTGAGGAAAGGCGCACCTCCTTGCCGTAATACCCGGCCGGTACTCGTGCTTCGGCGCGAGCCCCCGCTGCGAGTGTATGTGTGTGACGACGACGGCGGTAGGTCTAGAGGTGGTGCCTGGGCCGTAACCGGGTCGATCTGGACTTTGCTTTCTATGCTAACCCTGTAAACAGTCTTGGAGGAGTTAATGTGTGAATCGACAACGGTGTAGTTGTGTTGTATTAGTGAAGGACACTACGTTCTCTTAAGGAATGTACTGACTTCATATAAAGTTGAAAAATTTTGACTAATGGTAAGTATTTTACTCACAATTAATCACCTTAATTTTATTATTGTACGCCTTTTCTAAGCAATATTTCACTGTGTGGGTTTGTGGTGAATCCGTTTATAAGGACGAATACGGAATAAGGTTTTTTGTTTTTTGATGTCATGATAAAATGATAAAGTTTGTATAATAGGACATCATTTGTGAAATTAAGGAGTGATTTGGGAGAAGGACATTTCCAGCCACAACGGCGTAAACTTCTTGTAGTTTTTCGACAGGAAAGTAGTAAAACATCCACAAGAGCAAATCATCCAAACAATGAGCTCTCTTTTCACCCGATGAATGTACGTGGGATCCACACCAATGCTTGTTGTTTCTAACGACGAAACGTGTGTGTTTGGGCATGAACACCAACACACACACACACACACACACAACAACACACACACACACCACACACACACACACACACACAACACACACAACACACACACACACAACACACACACACACACACACACACACCACACACACACACACATACGACACGTACGCGGAAAGATAAGACGTAAACGTAGCCACGTCACTATCCACGTCTCTGTTCATTTTCCTGTCGATATACACTGCGTCAGTCGTGACCAGATACAGGGCGGACCAGTACGGGCTCACGTGTGAACGAATGCATTTGTGTGTGTGTATGTGTGTCGTCTGTGTGCGTGTGTGCGTGTGTTGTGGGAACTGTCATCCCGACGCATAACCGTTCTTACACCGCCATGTATTGCATAGTAAGAAAGCCCGAATACTTTATTTATAGACTCGTAAAAGAAACAAAATTACGTAGTCTTGTCATCCAAGATGTAAAACTAATAGTATGTTTTGTATTTTACAAGGTATGTTTGTCAACTAATTTAATACAATAATTCTCAGTATATCATAGCGTTATGTTTTAATAACGTAAAGTTATCCTGATTCTTTTATATGAAAAGAATTCTAATAGTTATAAGAGGTAGGATGAACTGTCGACTTTCGACTTTCAGTGACTACGTAGTAGTGATCCCTACATGGCTAGTGCGAAAAAAACGGAGGGCTAGGGCTAGCTAGTAAACTAAAACTGTTAAACGGCTAAGGCTAAAAAAGGGCTAGGCTAGAATACGTTACGTAATTCTCATTTTTTTCGTAAGTTTCAACAGGAATTCCAATAAAAAATAAATTAACCTATAAGATAGGGTTGTACCTATATACGAAGAAAGAAGTGTCTCGTAACTGAGTCAAGTCACACGACGTAACCTAGTTTTGTTTTATTTCGAAAGTCATGAGCATCGAATACGATGTTAATTCTGTGGCGCGGGTGAGACCAACGGTCTAAACTCCTTTTATTCGTTGGTCCAATTACTTTTGTTCGGGGGTTTCTTGTCGTGTATGTACTACAAGACCTTAAACCTTTTGGTTTGATTCCGGAGTCTACTGAAATTCTGAACTTGTACCGAAAACAAACATTGTAACTTATGTTTAAAATTTTTTTTCATAAATTTTTTTTTAATTTTTTTAGGGCTAGGGTCTAAAAAAAGGAGGCTAAGGCCTCTCCTCTCCTCTCCTCTCCTCTCCTCTCCTCTCCTCTCCTCTCCTCTCCTCTTCCTCCTCTCATCTACAGCTACACCTCTCTCCCCCTCCAGATGCAGGGCTGGGAGCGATAAGCCTCCTCTCCTTCCTCCCTACTAAGACAGCTGTTTTCTTGAAATCGATAGTAAAGCAGGATTTTCTTGGCTGTCAGGGCTTTAACATCCTCTTCTGTCCCATCTCACTTACACTCACACGCACACACACACACAGACACACACACACACACACACACACACACACACACACACACACACACACACACACACACACACACACACACACACACACACACACACACACACACACACACACACACACACACACACACACAGCCCTAATACGTCACAACTTACCCTGGTGCCCATGTCCGTCTGGCTAACAGGCTCCAGTGTGCGTCTTAATCCGGCCCTGATGCCAGCGCTGTGCTCACTGACACACTTATGCTGTCTGCATTACAACTGGCAACCTGGTAGCTTTAGCTGTTAGCAAGAGCAGCTTTAGTTAAATTAGTCTAAAAAGATATCCTTACAGTTTTAATACCTAAATGAAAGATCTGCTGACAGATATAATCATGTCTATATGTAGCAAATAACACATTGTGTTGACATTGACTTTCATGCTATACAACTAAATAACAGCAATTAGCTTGGGTTTTACTATGTTGTGATCTAGTTGTATTTTCTAACATTCAAGAAATAAAATCTCCAATACTGCAAGTTAGGTGCATGTTAGTAGACGAGAAAAGAACAGTGGCAGTGGCACAGTGCTTCCTCTTATCTTCCTTCTATGATGTTACTGTATATGCATGCATAGTCAAAGGAATCTATGCATCGTGAACGCATGTTAAGATTAAAGAGGAACTCCATTATAGAAGAGAACAAGGGGAATTCCCCCAGCTGCGTGTGCAGGCCCACACACTTCACTACAGTGTATGTTGAATGAATTAGCCTGTTGTAATTATTGATGCTCCCCCTTTCCTCTGTGATGACAATTAGCCTGAATGTATTTTAATATTTCAGCGTTACCTTTTTTTTTTTTCTTTCTTCTCTACAGCAATCTATCTATACATTACACCAGAGGGAACAGCAATTATGCTTGAACAGACAGTCAATCATAGGGATCAAATTAATCAGAAATCAAATCAAATAGGAATACTCTGTAATTCCTTTTGAATCTCAACATGAAATTCCCATTCATTTGTAAGTGGGATGAAGCGGAGATAAGGGTTTAGGCTGAGCTTTAGCGTAGCTGTTCCTAAGGCCAATGCCTTGAGGTTAACACCATGGGTTTAGCGTGGACATGTGGATGTGCACGGACAACTCAAGCCCTAACAGTAGCTGAAGAACGAGCACATATCACAAACCTGCAGGCTTCCCCAAATCACGTTACAGAGTGCTTTTATCAGGCGGAAATGTGTTTAAATTCAAATGAGATAATCTCTTAGTGCTGTATCAATCAGTTGTAGATGTATTGCTTTGTGCATTCATAATGATGTTTTTATACACATATTTTTTTTTCCTTAGCTCTCATTCACCCTTAAGACATTTCATGAGTTGTCAACACTTCACTTTAGCCCCCCCTATTTAGCAAGTAAATAAACATGTAATACATGTTTGTAACACTAGTGTTTAATAATACAAAATATCAACAGCTTAAAGGCTGGTGTAGAATCAAATAATGATTGGCACTATGATTAAATGTTAACATAGTGCTAATAAATGCTATACAGAAGAGGAGAGTTAAAGTAAAGTATTCCACAATTGTCGTCCAATTAAAACTAATTTATTTTTTAGTTCAAATCTTCACACCCCTGGCTGTATCACTCTTGAACTTGATGTAAAGACTAAACTTAAGCCGTGTGTTGCTTCATGTGCCTCTGTTAACAATTGACTTATGCCATATTGTTCTTATAGACTGTTCTAACCATGTGAAAAAGTATTTATTAGATTTTTCTTGAATCTGATCTCTGTTTTTTTCCCTCCAGGCGCGTAACTCCTACTCTAACGAGGTGGTGGCCATCAAAAAGATGTCCTATAATGGCAAGCAGACTACCGAAGTAAGGAAATCACTCGCACACAAGAGCACATAGACATGCAAAGGCTTACCTTCAAAACCAAGCTCCCACTGTAAATGCGACACCACAATGTGTTGCTTATGTCTCTGATTCATATCTCTGGGTCACATTGACATTTGGTTAGCCTGCAGTTTGATAACAAGGTCATCAATATTGAGAAAGAAAACACACCACCATTGACAGTCAGTACAACACAAATAGTGGTTGTGAAAAAGAGAACCTTTGCACACATCCAGTATGTCTTTGATTCTACTGTAATATATTTGATTTGGCCTGTTGAAATAAGCCTTTCGATTGGCCAATTGAAAAGAGTCATTTGTTTGGTCAATTAAAACAAGACCTTTGATTGGCCTAATGAAACAAGCCCTCTGATTAGTCCGTTGATGCAGGCCCTCTGTTAGGTCGGTTGAAACTAGCCTCAGATTTTCTTCTGGTTATTTGAAACGAGCCCTCTGATTGGTTCATTAATACAATCCCTCTGATTGGCCCATTGCCACGAGCCATTTGATTGACTCATTAAATGGGACCGTTCGAGTTTCCCATTGAAACGAACCCTATGATTTGCCAATTTGAAGAATCCCTCTGGTTGGCCCATTGGAACAACCATTTGGTTCTTTCATTTGAACAAATCATTATGTGAGCATTGGTATCAAAAGACTGTATTGTTGAATTAGCTTGGATAACATAAACTCTTGACATTCTCTACAAAAATCATCATTCAGCACCATCATAAGTAGTGTTAACTTGTCTGACCCATCTCGAATGGTCACTTCAATGCACTGCAGCGTTTACCGGCCTCCACTAGGACCCTTGAAGCACATGGATGTGTGACGACCTGTTCATCGCTGCTTGCAGCTCTAATTTATCTTGCTTTGGCACAAATCCAGTAACAACCAGCGCTTAAAATGCAAAAAAGGTAATTCTCTAATGATATTTACCCAAGCTCTGACAGTAGCATGTCAGAGATTGAGATTTCTCATTTGTGATGGTTAATTACCCTTAACTTTAGGGCCTAAAGGAACAAAAACAATGTGAAAATAATACAAAATAATTGCTCACCAAAGGTTGCAAGGTTTGGAACAAACATGTTCCTCCCTCAAGCAAACCACGGAACAAGTTTAGGCATAAGCTTATTTCAGAATGCGTCCTTTGTGCAAACCTTTATCTATTTATAAACTCTGTGTTTTGCATGTGAGGACTCTTACACATTGTCACACAGCTCTTGACTGGCTGAGGCTTTCACTTGCTATGTAAACTCTTCTGGTTACATTTTCAATATGCTTTTTAATTGAACCTTATTGCAGTGCTATTGAGAGACATTCCTATCCGTCTACATATAAACCTGTATAAAGACCATATTACCTGTTAAAGTGGTTACTACAGTGCGGCCAGCTGCGCCCTACTATCAAATCACAGCAATGCCAACCTAGGTGTTACCGGGATTGTACCTGTAGTGTGTAACCATCTGTGTGTCTGAATTTGTTTTTGGCAGAAGTGGCAGGACATCATTAAGGAGGTCAAGTTTTTGGGACAGCTGCGACACCCAAACACAATTGAGTACAAAGGATGCTACTTGAAAGACAACACTGCCTGGGTTAGTGGATCCGTCTCTCCCTTTGTCCCAGTTCCCATCTTTTGTTTTAATCTTGCAACATTTGTTTGTTTCTTCCTTCCTCTTTGTCTTTTTTGATTTCATCTCCCACTGAATGTGTTTCTCACTACAGTTTCTCTGCATATGTTGTTATCAGTAACACAATCTTTGTCGTTGAGAACATTTTCACAAGTATTCACAAACTTGATGTGAATCTTTGTATTGAGGATATTTAACAATGAAAAGCAAACTGTGAATTATTGTATCTGCATTCTGTTACAGCTGGTGATGGAGTACTGCCTGGGCTCCGCATCAGATTTACTAGAGGGTAAATATATGCAAAATATGCACACAAACTTATTTTTGTCCAGGAAGTCTCTTCCTCTGGCCAAGAAATAGTCTGTCAAATGTAAATAAAACCTGTGAGAAACCTTTTTTTTTTTAAATGTGGTTTATGTACATTTAGCTTTAGCTTTACTGTGGTTAGCTAGCTACATGCTATCAGATCAATCAAAAATAAATAACATTAACAGCATATTCACAATTACAGTAGAAAAGACAAATATCACTACAGTATGTGAATAATACACAATATAAAACATTCTGATTCAATTTGAATACTCTTCAATAGACAATTTTAATAAGCAACATAAATATATAAACATAGATGGTTCTTTGGTTGTTTCCTGTGGTTATTTGTCATTATTCAAACATAATGTGAACCTAAAACTAAAACAATTTAGAAACAAATACTCTATAAATGGTCTTGTAACTAAATAATACAACATATATCTTCTGTATTCTATATCTTCTATATCCGATTTGCAGGCGCCTCCCGCTTTTTTAACGCTGATTTGGGTGACTTGTGTAATTCGCGGAGAACCGAAGAGTTTTCGTTTTGGGGGGGGGTCCGTCCGTCCGCCCGCCCGTCCGTCCGTCAGTCCGACTAACGGACAACGTTTCACTTCAAAAAAGAAGAAGAAATCTAGACCGCAAAATAATTAAACGGAGTGCCTGTTTTTCCTGGCCAAGGGCAGGTTTCTTGAACACAACACGAGCGTAATGTGTCTTCACTTGGTATGTCTCGTCGGAAAGGAGTGTAGACTAGACTAGAGTGCTGACGGAGAGCACTGGAACGCCGCTCCAGCTCTTCAAATATTGCAGTACCCATAAGGAGCCGTACACACCGCAGTGTTTGCGTGGCTGTCTTTAGTTGTAAGCACAGTTGCGATCTGTTGTTATTAGCATCTGGTTAGCTAGCTATGCTAACGAATTTAAAGAGCTTTTCTACAACCAGGTGGAAGAGAGCTCTCTCCTGAGAGGCTCAAATAACCTCAGCTCAGTGAGGTTAAGGCACACCTTGATATGATCATTATAGTTATTAATGAGACATTAGAGACTAAATTAAAAACAGTTATAAAATACTATATGACAGTAACAAAAAAGTTGTTAAAAATAACAAGAATAGAGTTTAAAAGGGGAGTGATTTGTAAAATATCCAAAAAGAAGAATCTGCTTACAGTTCTGTTTCATATGGGTCTTGAGATGTATCCATAGATCTCCTCATGTTGCTCTCAAAGTGCACCAGATTGATGCTTTTAACTTCAATATTTAAAAAAAAATCTTCCCGGGGGAGCATGCCCCCGGACCTCACTAGAGGAGGTTAGGTCCCCCCCACTTAAATCATGTTCACCTGGATAGGATACTAAATACATTTGCACACATCTTGTGTCCATCTCTTTCTGCCACAACCATGCACGTGCGTGCGTGCATGCGCGAGTCATGGTAAGATATCTGGATTAAGAGGTAGCTTTTTCTTTGCACAGCATGAAAGAAAGGCCAAATGAATGGGCTGTGATTTTAGTTTTTTTAAGCAGAGGTTGAGTTCAATAATTTGTACGGCCCTCGGAGGATGTTGTAAAATTTGAAAGGAAAAAGGTTCCCCACCCCTGCTGTAAATAATAATAAAAACCCTTGATTTATAACTTAACATCTCTGTCTCCTATTGATCTGAGTATATTATAAAGAATAGCCAGTTAATTGAAGCATTATAGCACAGGCCTTTGTCAGATGGTATATTACGCTGTTTTTTTTCTGCTTCGAATAGTTCTCTCTTTTTTCACCATACGTGTGTTTGCATCCCTGATTATACAAAAGACCATATCTGAGTTACTTGGATGTAGACTCCTTTTTCTGAAGACCAATTTTTTTCTAGTTTTCAAAGCTTGGCAATTGTAAAGTGTCCATCCTCTCAACAGTCCCGACTTGAACACACTGTGTTATTTTAAGCATCTATGTGTGAGCTCGTCACTGATGCAGGTACACGGTCCTGACAGTCGGCCCCGGCCTGTTTTTGTAATGTCTCAGCCATAGTTCAGCTGGGACCTTTCGCCTGGCATGTAATCTCTCTGTTACTGCAACAGTCCACAGGGAGCCGGCTTAGGAGCCCTTATCACAACTGTTAATGCCAAGAGACTACTTTCTTACTGCTATATCAGCAGGGCACACCTCTATAGTTTTTATTTATTTATTACTAATACTGTGATGTTTTGGATGCCAGCAGTTGCTTGAAGTCTGCGCTTCATAACTAAATGAAGAAGCTTTATTTATTATGAAGGCCTTTGTGAAGAACACATTTCATGATTATATAATGAAAGTCTTCAGAGGGTTTTTACTCATTTCCACTCTGCTAATTTCTCCCCCAGTTCATAAGAAACCACTGCAAGAGTTGGAAATTGCTGCCATTACCCATGGTGCCTTGCTAGGACTGGCTTACCTACATTCCCATAATATGATTCACAGGTGAGTCAGTTTGTTCTCTAGCTCCCATAAGGAAGTGCCTTTATCAAAAACATGATAAGAGGCTGAGATGAGATGCACTTCCCTGACTGAGCGTTTACTAATTAGGCTGTAAAACGTCATCTCTATAGGTACATGTGGTCCTTACTGAGCAAGAAACAACCCTTCTGTTTTACTGGTGTCCACAATGTAATTTTTAATGGCAGGGAAATATGATTAGCTTCTTAAATGGAGCTGTATGAATCATCTTGACTGTTCTGTGTCATCATGTCTCATTGCAAAATTGTAAAAATGACATAAAACCCATAAAATTAGAGTCGCACTCGGTGATCGTAGACCTCCGCTAAAGCCAATGCTGCATTCAAGTTTCCCTTAGATGGATATGACTTTTTTCAGATTATTCTGACACACCATGACTTGATAATGAATGTGGATTCTTTCTCGGCCCATGCTACACCCTTTCACCAATTTTCTGTGAAAAGGGGCCAGTATTTTTTCTGCTTGAAGACAAATAAATCGAGCCAAAAACATGATCTCCTTAACGGAATTAATAAAGATATCACATCTATAAATACACCACATCAGTGACCAGTTCATTAACATTTGAGGGAGAAGTATAATGCATAAGATATCCCTGGAAAGGATATGAATTCTCTTGGTTGCTCTTCCTAAATACACTCTCTCCATCCCCCTCTCCCCACCCAGAGATGTGAAAGCTGGTAACATCCTGCTGACTGAGCTGGGTCAGGTCAAACTGGCCGACTTTGGCTCCGCCTCCATTGCCTCACCTGCCAACTCCTTTGTGGGAACACCTTACTGGTCAGTATACATGAAACACGAGGCATATGGCACAACACTGAACGCCTTACATGTCTATATGCGAGAGACCAATGACAATGAGAAAAATGGGAATTGTGGTATTTGTTTTAGGGCTTTCTTTGCATAGAAATTACAAGAACAATTCATTTTTTTGGAGTAAGTGAGTACTTCTTGTTGTTGCCCCCGAGTCACTTTGAATAAAAACCTAGTTATGCTTACAAATGACAAAGTTAATAGGATAGGGGTAAATAAATAGGGGTATTCACTGTGAAGTGAAGGGTGAGCGTGCCTCAAGATGGTCCCTATTGATACAGCCGGTGACACTTTATTTCATTAATTTAATAATGCCTACTGTTTTTTGCCTCATATAGAGTTATCTGCTCTACCTTGCCCATCATAATACTCACTCACGCACTTTATGGAGCTTTGCTGGTTAATGAAAGCCATTACATAAACAGCTGGACCAGTGTTCAGTTTTCACACTCCGCCTTGACAGAAACACACACATACTTTCACAAAACTGAGCTGCTATCACAGCATACCAGAGTCTTTAAAAGCTCTGAGCAGCTTAGCAGATTATAACATTTCCGTGGATTTTTCCCTGTACTTAATAAACTATGCATGTTTGTGCACTTGCATGTCCTCAGGATGGCCCCGGAAGTGATCCTAGCCATGGACGAGGGTCAGTACGAGGGAAAGGTGGACATCTGGTCGCTGGGGATCACCTGTATTGAACTGGGTGAGCATACATCTAGTCAAGAAGTGAATTTAAGGGCCCTTGATGTAAGAAATGTAACAGATGTACGCTGGTTAAAAATCTGTAAAACATGAAAATACATCTTATTTGTTCCTGGTTGCTTTGGAGACGTTGTGTCTGCCTCATTTAAGGAGAGGCTGATATCTGATTGTGAAATCCTTGGCACTGAATCCACACCCTTATATATTTTTCTGACTCTCCCATCTTCTCTTATTTTAGCGGAACGCAAACCTCCCTTATTCAACATGAATGCTATGAGTGCCTTATATCACATCGCACAGAACGACTCTCCCACGCTACAGTCCAATGAGTGGTGAGTTGAAAACACACCATTCAACATTGTCTCTTTTATAATAGTTTTAATATAATTTGCAGAAGGCTAATAAGTAGTAGTAGTAGTAGTAAAACCTTTATTTAGCCAGAAAAATCAATTAAGAACAAATACTCCGAACACTACAGAACCCAGGAGAAAACGCAATTACACAGAGATGGCAGGCATAGCAGTTAAACATATAACATATTTAGATTAATACTGCTGGAGTTCAATCAGTCATTAAAATAATATAGAACATTTATTCCTCCATTCATTCCTTCATGGCAATATGTCCGATATGTGGCCAGTCAAACCCAAGAACTACAACATTATTTTGAAAACAATATGCTTATCTAACAAGTCTTAAATGTTTATATAAAGAAATTCCACAAACACCAGAAAAAATCCAGAGAAACTGCTGATACAATACTTTCACACAACTGAACGTGAAAGCCCAATCCGATCAGTGCTCATTGGGGGTAAAACATCCCTGTGTTAATCTGCGTGACCTTTGAACCCTGCAACAGGCCTTGTGCGATGTCACGATTTAAATCTCCTATGTAATTACCTGGGAAACCTCTCCCAAAGTAATACAGTGTGAATACCCACACCGTTCCTGCTGGGCTATAAGGCACGTCTACATGTATAACAGCATCAAAGCAAAGCAGTGTAATTACAAATACTATATTAATATTATTCTAGTTGATCGAACTCAGATTTTTCTTGTGTTTTCCATTCTAACCTTGATGTTTCTTTGTATACACACTGAGTTTTCTAAATGTATTATGGGAAAACAGCCAGGATGTTATGCTGCTCTCAGACTCACAGCAGATCCTCTAGAGACTGTCCTACCAGACATCTAAAAACTTTAAGCGATTTAATTTAGGCCAGCAGCTTTTAAACAGCTCTTTGCCGCAGCATCTCAGCCACAGTGTTGAAGTCAGACTCGTGCTGCTTCTTCATATAATCATAAAGTGTACCTAATAAATTAAGAAATGTTTTTTGAAATTGCTCATTTCTGCGGAGACGGATCATTTGTGTTATATTTTGCTTTACTTTTTATGTAAATAATTTAAGCTGATGATTTTTGCTTTAATGACTTCATTCAATTAAGATACATTACTTTATAAACATTATTTTTGGCTAGCTGCAGCATAATGTTAACACTAAGCTAGTTCATGTTGTAAATTCTCAACTAGGTAGAAATAGTTCATCCTCATAATTATTTAACTAGCAAATATGAGTATGAGCTTGCACAAACCTTGAGTTAAAAGAATGGAGGAAGAAACCAGGTTGTATTATTGCACGCAGCAGATAAGAGGATGTATTCGTAGACTGTAAATATGTAGAGAAGATGATCTAAATTTGCTATAAGAAATAACGACATAAAATGTTGCAAGCAGGAAATTAGCAAAGCTGTAAATATTCCTCAGTTCCTCTGATTCGCTGCAACCAACACTAACCCTTTGCATGTGAGGTGCGGGCCTCACGGGGGAAACAACACTCATCAAATATTAACCCTTTGTTGGATGTTCTCCATGTTATTTACCTCTGTGTTCTTCTTATGCTATCATTACTGTGGTATGAAAGTGTGCGGTCCTAAGCATGCAGAGTCGTGTCTGTGTTTGCTCCTTGTCGTATGTTGCAAGAATCTTTTGCGCAGCCAAGGGCGAGAGTTGTTTTCTACCTGCCTCAGCGCAGCCTGAAGGCATCAGTGTCCTTCATGAATCTTCCACCAAGCTCTCAATTAAATAACAGTGTTCTTATTTTACACCCTAAAAAAGAGAATACATCACAGGCCCTGTCATCAGAAACATGAGGCAGGGGGAGTCTTTTAAGTTTGCTGCCTATGCGCTGCAGTTATAAAATTAGCGTTGGTTTGTAGCGTTGTGTGAGGTGGCGCAGGGTTGAGGTATTTTTGGAGAAGCTCCAGCGGCCTGAGGCGTTAGCAACATCCCTCCAGATGAGACTAGTACAGACATCCGCTCCTCAGTGTAACTTCTGCTCACATTCACTGGGTTTACACCGAACACACACACTGGCATGACACACTACATTGCACTCATTGACCTGGGCTTACAACAGAAAACGTTAGAGTTTGTGGTGGATTGGTGAACCCTACAAAGACCCTGAATGTGCATATTACGGGTCAATATCTTAAATAGCACTACGGGCTACTTTAATTAAAAAATCCAATCACATTGTTTTAGTTATACTGGGTTATCAGGAGTATATTTTTAGATTAAAGTCACAATGATCCACCTCTCCAGTGGCCTATATTTTTATTGCTCCACATTTTCACATAATCCATATATGGGTAATATATGGGGCTACACTAAGAGATTACATAGGATTGTTCTGGTTTAATTCATTGATATGATAACATAGGCACAGCAGAGGAAGCGATAACTCATCACGTGCAACATTCATGACTTGATGTGTGGTGGAAAGCAGCCTACCATTTGGGCTTATAGGGAGACAATAGTCAACTTTGGTAACATTTGATACTATAGTCGATATCAATGTGAGAATTCATCAGTTGCTTATCAATACAACATTTCTCATGTATTACACTTTTTTTTTTTTAAATAGAATGACTAAGACCTTATCTTAATTTTCTTCAATTTGTGCTTTTTTGCTTATATTTCAGCAACAGAAATCTTTGGATAAAGCCAGGTTTCCAATGTCTATAAATCAGGCTGTGAATAATATATGAACAAATCCTAAAAATAACGTTACAACATAGACGGGGAAAAAACTAGAATAATTGGTGTTTGTAAGAGCTGCTGAAGTGGACATCCCTAGCTCAGAGTATGAGAATATTTTGAGAAAGCAGCTTTTTTAAATATATGTATTATAAAATCCAATACATTTTGTATGTACAAGACACTTCAGTTGAATAATGTTAAACAATGTAGCAAATAGATTGCCATAAAACGTCTCCTTACAATAGGAAAGCTTTTTTTGTATTCTACAAATGTTAAAATATGCAAATGACGCATCCTCTAATGTAATTTTGGTTAATTAAGGAAAAATCTGCATACTCAAATAGACACAGTTACTAAATCAACATCTATTTTGGATGTGATCTTTCCCTATAGTCTGAAACAACACATGGCAGGGAGGCTTTAAACCAAAACTCTTAATATGGACCGGTTCATGACAAACCTTGCCTCTGGTGTCTGGCTTGAACTTTTCCTGATTTAGAAATGTTTGAATGGGAAGGGGAGTCTTTGATTTTCACTGTTCTCATTACCCAGGTCTGACCCCTTCCGGAGCTTCGTCGACTACTGCCTACTGAAAATTCCTCAGGACAGACCCTCGTCAGGGGAGCTGCTAAGAGTGAGTGGGCTTCCTCTGTAATCCCTCCAGCTGTGACCTCACTTCCTGTCTCTGTCAGTCCATGAGCCTTGTGGATGAGTCACTCCCACCCACCCACGACTCCTTAATACTAAAGAATATATTGTTGAAGCGCAGGAAGCAAGCACCCCGCTGAGAATTTCTGATTCTTTTTTGTCTCTTTGTTGTAACTTTGCTTCCTGTGCTGTGCCTCAAAGCCATGGACCTTAATAGCCTTTAAGTTACAGTAGAGACATGACAGGAAATGAAGGCAGAAAGAGAGGGTAGGATGGGATAAGAAGTTGGGGTGACAAGGCCACCAGGGTGTGCCTTTTAAAAAAAAATGTGTATACAACTTTAGGATACTTTTTACAAATACAGTACGTCTTATAACAAGGTTAACTTGGGAGGGACCTTTCTGTAGTTTAAAATAACTTAAAAGTGGATCACATTTTTTTTTCAAACTGCTGTTTCCGAGGTCCAAAAATCATATATTGCGACATGTCCTCCTCATTTCCTCTTTTCTTGTCCTTCCCTACTGTTATTTTTTAAATATAAAGCACATTTGTCCATTAAATAAAGGTTAAACATTTGAAATGCAGCTGCAAATCAGGCTTTATAATGTATTTCAGCCATCCCGCCTAATAACAACCAACTAAATCCACTCAGAAACATAATGAACTTACACAGTGTTAATCCGTGGAGGTTCTTTGTGTTTCCCTGTTATCCAGGGGTTGATCTTTTTGTTTGTGTGAGCAAAAGGTAATCCCATTGGTCCACTAAGAGTTTTATGTTCTTGGGAATCACGCTCAACAGTGTGTGGGCTCCAGCAGGAGTTTTCCCACCTGCTCAACCTGAGGGTAGCTCAAATAAAGGGTTCTGGACTCTCGCCTGGATAGGATCGAAGTTTAGGCTAGTATTCACTCTTACCAACACCCCTGACCCAAATCTTGTCCGAAAACACATTAAAGATGGATAAGTACCCAACAGACTTGGGATCAGTGTCGAAGGGGCTGCTTTAGAATGAGGGGGTGGGGGGTGGGGTTTTAGCCTGTGATTAAAACCCCAGTTTTCTCTTCTCACACACACACAAAATCAATCTTTGCAGGCACACAGGCACACGCCCCTCCAAGCTCTTTGAAGGGGAAATCAGGTCACTAATCTGGGGGCCTTGAGCTATCAGTGTTCTGGCTTCAGGTTAAACTCACCCTGTATGCCTTGTTAAGAGTAATAGTAATTATACAAGTAATTATGAATTGACCTCTCATGAGTACAGACTATCAATAATTAGGTAATTACATTTACATGAATATATTTAAATGAAAAAGCAGAATATTCACATTTAACAAGCTGGAACCAGTCAATGGCTATTTCCTTTATGTCTTGGTTACATTAAGAAAATTCTTTATTAATATTGTTGGCGATACATTATTTGTGGATTAGTTTTCCTTTTGAGAGTCAGATGTCAAGACTGACGCTATCTGTTAGATAAATATGGAGCTAGAGCTAGCAGAGCAATGCTCTTATGCTAGGCTAAGCTAACCAAGTGTTGGTTCCAGAACTATTTCTGTTAATGTAACTCATGGAAAGGAAGAGAAGAGAGATATTTAAAAAGATCCTCAACCATTCATTTATTAATAATATAAGGTAAATATATTTAGTTTGTATAGCATCTTTGGTACAAAAGATGCCACACAATATGATTTACAATAAAGAAACAATATCCATTCAAATTAACATACAATCAAGGATAGGAAGGAGGAAAAAAATACCAATTCATAAATTAAGATAACCAAATTATGATAAATAAAATGCATAGCATAAGTTGGAGAACAAAACTGTTTGAATAATAATATTCATTCCCTTATCTCCTTTTCTACATAAGCGGTAGAGGTTTTACATTTTTAAGAATAATACTCAGAAAGTATTTCGTCTCGAGTGCACTCACATTTAACATCACAATACCTCACGGGTAAATCTCAGAGAAAGGATTAGTACTTTTGGTAGAAGAAGCTGGTGATGCTACTACAGTATCAACTCAGATTCTGTCGCTTCATTCTAACTTATAATGAATCCCAGAGATAACTTCCTGCTGGTCGATGGGAGAGGGGAGGGGGGACCACCCACACTCTGGTTTTGGTCCGTCAGAAAACGAGACAAATCTCTCCCATCTCTATTTTCAGAGTGTGATGTCATTCCCTGGTGTCCTGACTAACCCATTACACCAGCATCTGTCACATGGAGAGGACGGTGTGCAGTGACAGAAAGCTTGAAATAGACCTAAAAATATAGCTTTTTTTATAAAGTGTATATATAGTCCTGTACTCTGAGGTTGCATACATTTCAGTGATTTAGCTCAATGTATTTTATGAATGAGAGTGACTAAGGGGGTGGGTGTGTGTGTGTGTGTGTGTGTGTGTGTGTGTGTGTGTGTGTGTGTGTGTGTGTGTGTGTGTGTGTGTGTGTGTGTGTGTGTGTGTGTGTGTGTGTGTGTGTGTGTGTGTGTGTGTGTGTGTGTGTGTGTGTGTGTGTGTGTGTGGAAGAGCAGGGGAGTGTTTTATTTTCATCCTGATGTCAGTACAGTTCAATGCTTAAAAAAAATACATTAATTTTAACAACATACACCATGTCATTCTTACCCAAACCCCACCAGCCCTGCACACCCACTCTGACCTGCTGCTTATGTAACACAAAATAAGTAATTACATAAATGCATAATGCCTCAACCTCCACCGAAGTACACCTAACATCAAATTACAGGAAGGTTTGTTCCGTACAGTAGAACCGGTCGCAGCAGATTAGTGTAAAACTGTGTTGGAAAAACAACAAATAATCTTGGAAACATGATTCGTTATATTCTTTTAAATAAATCTGACCATTTTTGAAATATTCATTTTACAGGAAAAAAATGTAAGTAAGACATTTGAGGTTTATACATGACTGGGTAATTAAATCCAGCTTCCAATGAGAGGTAAATGTTTGTAGGCTTACTCGAAAGTACAAACTAAATGATTAAGATTAAAAGCCTGAAACCTCCTAATTAATTGTAAGCTTGTTACTCTATGGTTGTACAATGTTTTTGAAGCTGTCTTTAACTTGGTGCCAAGGAAATTACACTTCAGACATAATTAATTAGACTGAAAAGGATTATGAGTATTTATGCAATTCGATTTTATGGGCAATCTTTCCCAGATATCATGTGTTCAGTCTACTACAGAATGAAGCATGCTGGGACTCTCAGAATGGGCAGAGCAACCTACAGGCGCCCTCTAGTGATAGTCACAGTTGCTCTGCCTGTTAAAAAAGTAAATTTTGTGAAAAAAGTAGCAGGCAGTAAAATACTTTAGTAAATTAGATATGAACTATATTCACAACTGAGATCTTTGAGAACAGAGCATGTCAACACATCAAAGTCCTGTGGCCCTTATATGTTCTAAAACCATCATTTTGAGTTACTCAAAATATTATTTAAAGCTCCTACATCCTTTACAGCACACACCACTTTTTTTATATTATTTCTTAAAGATGTTAATAATTTAGCCTAATAATATCAAAAGGTTAAATGCATTTCAATGTCAACATGTAGTCTGTAAGAAATATATTGTTCTAGTTGTCTTAAAATGAAACATCAATAATTAATCCAGGTTTCAAAGAAAGTATAAAAAGACCATTTGTACAATTTAACCTATTAACATTTAAATTAGGATATTAATTGTATTTTAATGTTAAGATGGAGTCTTTAAAAATGGTATTCATTTTTGAAAAAAGAAAACCTTGTAGATATATGTATTTGTTTTTGTGTAAAATTAAGCATTGATCAAATGTCTAGTATAAAGACTGAACTAGAAACATGACTAATTATTCCAGGTTAATGTATAAAGAAAACTACATTTTAAAAATGTCTAAACCAATTGTTTCCTCCCTCAAACCCTCTTTAGATAACTTCTAACCCAACCAACCGACTAACTCACTTTCTCCCTCTTCTTCTCTCAGCATGATTTTGTGCGTCGGGAACGCTCGCCGCGCATTCTGCTGGAACTCATCCAGAGGACCAAGGATGCGGTGCGGGAGCTGGACAACCTGCAGTACCGCAAGATGAAGAAGATCCTCTACCAAGAGAAGCACAACGGACCAATGGGAGAGAGCCAGGAAGAGGAGGAGGTGGGAGAGCCTAATTTTAAAGATCAGCGTTATGCAAATAATACAGAGATACAAACAGTCTGTCAAGAGTTACTGTAAAGGGATACAAGTGGAAAACAAGGGGTTAAAACCGATTCCAACCAGTCAAGCTCCATTTGAATTCAGTTCACAATTCTCCAATGTTCAAACAATGATTTTGTGTAAAACCACATTTATTTCAGCTTTACTATCATAGAAAGGTAACACACACATAACAAGTCCACAGTGTACAGCAAACAACAGCAAACACTATGATAAAGCCAACAGAGACACTCATTGATAAAATAGAGATGAATAAATACCAGTTGGTCAGGCACAGGCTAAATCAATCAGTTTAAAAATATTCTGCCAGCCATTTTCTAGATAAATTGATTATTGTTTGGTCTTACAATTATCATAAAATATACACTATTTCCTAGAGTGCAAGTTTACTTTTTTTCCCCGCTATACAGTAGTAACCACTTTTAAACAGAGAAAATTAAAATAAAACGACGTTTGAGAGGCTGGAAGTAACAATTTTTATAACTATCTCTTTACACAAATACAATGATTTGATTTACGTCATTTTTTATCATCTCTACTGCAGTGCATCCATTTCTCAAGTTGTTCACTTGATTGGGGCAACAGGCAGGAATCACGAAGCTCAGATTCACAGGACAAAGTCTGAGGATAGGATAGTGATGTTACCCAAAGAACCAGAAACTGTCATTTTAAAAGACTGTGTATGACATCCTGATACAGTCTGTTACTGCAGACTTAACTGAATATTCACCTGCACCTAATAGTTGTGCAGCTTTATTCCCTTAATTTACCATGTACACACAATCAAGTGGCCATCTAATCTGAATAGATCTCAGGCTTACAGATGTGCAATAACATAAGAATGACACTCAAACACACACGGGCAAATGTAAAGTCAACAGGCAGTTTAGCATGATTCTGATACAACCAAAAGTTGTATTTCCATGTATTGAGGTGACTTCCTTAAACATACACTTTTGCAGGAGCCTGTATCTATTGGAGCTGACTCTTGAGTGTATATTTGTGTTTTTGAATGTGATTGTTTGGATGTTCTGTTGCAGGATAGCGAGGCAGCCAGCTGTAAGATGAACAGCCTGGGAAGCAACCACTCCATCCCGAGCACTTCGGTCAGCACAGGCAGCCAGAGCAGCAGCGTGAACAGCATGCAGGAGGTACTGGACGACAGCTGCTCCGAGATGACCATGATGCACCCACAGGACTACAGCAGCACCCTGGAATCCTCCCCACACACAAAGAAGGTACAAGTCATACACACACAAGTTGTCAGAATGAACCCTTTGGCACAGACACACCTTTGAAATGCTGCTAAAAGTTGAAAACTACAAATTGAACGAGAGGTTTAAGTTCATGGTGGAGAGGCAGTGTGAATCCGGTCTTAACCGCCTTGCCACAACAGAAACAAAACACTGTATTGTAGGAAAACATAACAAAAGCTTGTTCCAATAATTAAAGGGCCTTAGACAGATAAGGTTGACAGATAAGTCAACAGAACAAAGTCGTATATTGGTATAAAAATACTAACATGGCTTACTGCAGAGACAGGGTGCTACATCATCAAAAACATATCTATTTATTACAAGGACTAGTTGATTAACATGTGTCATACTGGTTGCAACAGGCCTCATTTTATATTTATTGTGCATTTCTTTGAGACAATTACTGTTGGTTAATTGGCAGCCCACTAAGTGTTTACAAAAAATACGATTTTTAAAGACACCAGGAGAGTTTGATATAATGCACACAAGTTTAAACCCCACATTTTGATTTCCCTCATGGGTCCTCAAAGTTGCCAATTGGTACTCAAGCTCTGAAACACCCATGGAATCGGCACTAATCTTTGCAACCAAAAATCAATATCACGAATGTTTCTAAATGATGTTAAAATATGATTATTTATTTTTACCGTGTATGTTTCCAAAAGCTCTGGTTTGGAGGCGCTGCTCTAACTTATTGTCTTTGCAAGTCCCATGCTTAAGGATTAGTGTTTCATTGTGGCTAATAAAGAAGAAGAAAAATATCTAATGGATAACATTTAAAATCTAGATAACCACAAAAGTCTATCATTAGACATTAGCATAAGGCCTACCTGGCCTTGAAATGTCATTGATTTCCAATCCATTTTTAGGACCTTAGGATATAGAGATAAACACCTGGCTTTCTAAAAATCACTAGTACTCAGTGAGTGCATAAAAACACACAACCAAAGGACACATGCCTCTGTTCACACATCTCTGGATTTCTTTTACTATTTCAAGGGTATGCGAAATCCCCTCCCCCTTTGAAACCATGGAAACCATCGACACAGTCCTCACTGTTTGGCAGACCGCTTCAAGATCATCACAAACACCGCTCACACTCAAGAACAAAGGCTGTGTACACATGTCGACAAGCAGCACACACTCCCCCTACTTACAGTCATCCTACACACACACACACACACACACACACACACACACACACACACACACACACACACACACACACACACACACACACACACACACACACACACACACAGGTCAACACAATGCCTGACGTTCTCATGTGACTTAAACATCTGTCAAGAGAGGGCTGTTACTGCTCTTGCATTCTCTTTCCTCATCCGCCCTTTGTAAATATGACAGTGCATGAATAAGGACGACACTCCATGAACAGACAGCCAGTGTGTTTCAAGTTCAGGGGCTGAGCTGAGAACAAGTGACAGTGACGCATATTGTTTTCAGATGCTGATGAAGTCCCCCTCCTCACATGAATCAACTCTTTGGTCCCCTGGGTCCTGAAATCAGTTTGTAATGCTGGGGGAGGGGGTGTTAGTGTAGACGTATTTTGATGTTCCTGCTTATGGTTGACACAGTTTCTGCAGCCTTAGATGCCCTAGATGCCTTTTTCAAGTCTAGAAGTCGTACCATTCACATCAATGGGGAATTTTCGATTTCACACTGCCACGGTTTTTCACTGGCAGTGTGAAGTGTCCTGTAGCACCTTCATGTTCACAACAGGGAAATTTGCTCTTGCATTATTGTAAGGCAAAACACTACCGGGCAAAAACATCTATCTACAAGCAATGTTTAATTATTTAAGTATTGGATATTTTGCCTCCATAACGTGTCTTTCCAGACTGGTTGGAAGAAAAACATCCGAAATACACATTTACATGTTTTATTTAACTACACTTTGTCTATTTTCGTTTTTTAGAAAGTAAACTATATATTGTAGTGTCTACGGATGGGCAAATGGCGGCCCATGGGCCGCATGCGGCCCCCACCTCCTCTTTTTGCGGCCCTCAGATTAATTTATAAACAGCGTAATTAATAATAAAAAAAATATTTAAAAAAAATGTTTTTTTACTTGTAGTACTGATACCGTCCACTAGACTCCTAGTTACGTCGCGAGCTGCGTACATGATTTCAAATACCGCAAAATAATCTGTGACGCATTTGTGTGTATTGTGTTTGTTTCCCGGGGAAACCCTCACAAGAAACACCGGCTGTTGTTATGCCTGCTGTGACGTTAAGTTGCCTCTTGTAATTATGCCTTTACAAGCTTAAAAGTTGTATTTATGATCTGAATTTGGCGAAACAAGTTTAATATTCTTAAAACCAAGACTTTGTTTAGATGAAAAATTAGATGAAAACAAACTGTCACGGACCCTGCCATGTTATCTATGATTACTACGCTTTTCATTCATAATTTCAGCGGGAGGGAGGGGGAGCGGTGCTGAGGAACAGCAGAGTGTGGGCTGACAGGTGTCTGTGTTGACATTCCCCTTATTGTGGAATAAGGGGAATGCAGAGACTGGCAACAAGTGTCTTAGGTTCAAGTTAGACAACTAATATCTGGGTTAGTGTTCATGACTTCATGTTTATGTCATCTTAATGGTTAATCTCAATACACACACATTTTCCGTGCTTTCCAATAGTTTAAAATAGTTTTATTCCACTGTTTAATAACCTGTTCAATACAAACATGCCACTTGTAAAAATGAAATAACATTTCTGTGAACTTATATTTGTTTAGTGAGCTTATTAGAGGATGTTCCCATTTTTTGGGGATGTTCCCTTTGATTGTAAAATGTCTATGAAGATGTCAGACTTACAGTAGTATATTTGTTAATAATTACATACAACACATGACATTTTTGTTTGTGTGTGTTCCAATTGAATCTGCGGCCCCCTGGTGGCCAGTACATCAATTATGTGGCCCCCACCACCATCAAAGTTGCCCATCCCTGATCTAAATGTATGGGATATGTATGAGGAAGATATCTCCATTTAAGTTGCTCTTACATACACCAAACTTTTCCGTTTCAAACATACCTTTATTTTGAAGGTGTTTCCTTGCAGGTTTGTTCATGTAACATTCATAGCCACATTTATAGCTACTACTACTACTTATTAGTTACGTTACGTACGTACGTAGTAGTAGTAGTAGTAGTTAGTAGTAGTAGTAGTGTGTGTGTGTGTGTGTGTGTGTGTGTGTGTGTGTGTGTGTGTGTGTGTGTGTGTGTGTGTGTGTGTGTGTGTGTGTGTGTGTGTGTGTGTGTGTGTGTGTGTGTGTGTGTGTGTGTGTGTGTGTGTGTGTGTGTGTCAGGACCAACAGTACAACTGGGACGATGGGAACCACCGGGACCAACTGCAAGGGCTGCGGCCGTCCTCCTCCGACAAGAGCAGCCAGGCCCAGAACTACAAGAACCAGAGCCGCTTCGCCACCATCAAATCGGCCTCTCTGGTAAGTTTATCTCAACTCCTTCCTCTGTTGTTCTCCTTCCTCTTCCTTGGAACCTGTAACAGCCTTGTTATGTTTTTGAATGTTTGAATATGTATTTTTTTGTGCTACATCCACGTTGAAAGTTGTGTTGATATAAGTCCCCCAACAATTGGAAAAATTGCTTCTTGCTGAAGCAGCGTTTTTTCTCAGAATGTCATATTCACACCATTGCAGAATACTAGGGCGCACAGGGGGCTTTTTTTTTTGTCTCTCTCTGTTAAAACCTGTCTGCAAATGTGGCCGCAGGACATTGAGGCTGGATTTGATATCTCCAAGAAATGACATGTGGATCCTTTTTGAACAAACTTTAGTTTTAATATCAACCCTGCCTTTCTCTTTTGGCCGCACCTATATATTCAGTTTATTTTTCCTCCTGTCAACCCATGTTTTGGTCATCACCTTCTCTGACTCTTTGTCTCCAGTCTTCTGCAACTATACAGCCTTTCTCTTCTTCTCTGCTGTCTTTCCTCCTTTTACTGCGCTTCATATTCCTGCTCCCCTCCCTCCCCTCTCCTCTTATTTCCTCCTCTCCTGCACTTTATAATACATCATTCTTTGATCTGACTCTACAGTCTGAGTTGAAGAGGGAGGAATATTCTCCTTCTCTCCCTCCCTTCATGTCTGTTGTCATGGAAACCGGCTCTAGTAACTAGTAGTAGTGTTGTGTGTAAGCGTATGTGAGTGTGTTTGTTTACCCATCCATGACCCAGTGGTCTTAAACCAGACACGAGGAACATGAGCAAAGAAGACGTGTGTCCTCGTGCTGACCTTGATCAGAGTGTGAACCAAGTCCAGCACTGTGTGGTTTTATTGACCACAGGTCGCCTTTATCTGTAGTCGCACACAACTGTATATAGCTTTATTAAAATCTTACAGCCATTCTTCATCCATTGGAAGTGTAAGATTCAGTGCAGCAGAAATTCTAGGATGTTAAAAAATAAGATCCCCCCGAATATAGGTCTAAAATTCCTCATAGAGAAAATTGATGAAAATAATCCCCCCTAATAGACACTCAATCAATTGACTGCTGCATTGCTAGAATAATTAAACCTGGCTAAACACATAAGCATTACATCAGCTCCCTTTGTCTCACTGTGAGAAGCCTTTTCACTATTATGCTCAGAAGCCTCGATGCCAGCCAACCTTGTTGACTCATAAAGGAGCCATTTCTTTTTGCAAACACTCGTCCCTGGTTCACCAAAGTAGCATTTTCCTGATAGTATGAATACATTTGAGGGTCCTGAAAACACAATATCATCCAGTAAATTAAACCCTAGAACAAAGTATTGGTTACGTATACCTCAACAGGCCATTTAGTGTCATTTAAGAAAAGATGAAACAAAATGATAAAAAAGGTACTTGTCAATTGTGATGGTTGTGGTTATTTTTGAGAGTTTATTTCATGAAATTAGAAATGTTGTCATAAAACACACAACTTTTAATTGTCATAGATTTGTAGCAGGTCCTCTCATGACAAAACACTAAGGTACCTAGCAGCTCTGTGTAACTGAGGCTGCCCGTCCTTACATGGTGTAAACCACGGTGTCTGTGTTGTGTGATAGCACCAGTGCTGCCCGCCCGTGCTCAAACAGAGATGACATCATCTTTTTCTGCCGAGCGCAGACGTCCTCAGATTGGCCTCGGCTCGCTGAGACTGGAATCAGCAGGTAGACAAAGGGAGAGACACGAACGGGGGTCCAGATGGTGAGACGAGAGAGGGATCGCCAGAGAAGGGAAAGAGATGAGAAGACGAAGAGCAGGAGAAATATGAAAACATGTACCGTCAGGAAGAAGTTGCATCCTCCATAAAACAAGTACACAAATTCCTGAGTTAGAAATGTGCTATTTGCAAAGACAAAGGAGGAAATCATAGTGATGAAGGGAGATTACATGACATGAAAGAGGATGTTGGCTAGTGAAGGTAAGGACGATGTGGAGGAGATATCAGGGCGAAGGACAGATAAGCAAACAGAGGTGAGACACAAGAGCAGTGCAGATTGAATCTGGGCTGTCAAAGCAGGACAAGGGAGAGAGAGGCAGAGGTGACACAGAGTCCGATCTGAAGGGAAAACATGGAAGCAGAGAAGAAGAACGACGGGAAAACTGAAGAGAAGGGCAGATGAGAGCAGAATGAAAAAAACATCGGAGACGGAAAAAGGGACAAGGGTGAGGAGGGAAGGAAACAGTAGAAAGAGATGGGTGTAAAGACATACAGAACCAATGTGAGAGGGCATACAGAGTGAGAGGGAGGGCAGGGGTTATTATAGGTCAACTGACTGAAGGCTGCTGTAGAGACGACATTGTAGGAGATTTCACATCATCTGCCGCTCAACAAAAGAGCAGCAGATCAGTCGAGTTTAAGAAACATGCACCTTCCCCGTCAAACGACACTTGCACAACAAATCTGCCATGTATTTATATAGCAGGGGGAAAAAATATATATTTCATATGTAGAGATGGAGGCTGTGGTTAAACCCAATGCATTTTTGCAGTTGCTTTGCTTTGGGATCCAAAGAGACATATGAGACAAAGAGTCCCCAGCATCTACAGGAAAACATGACAGTAAAGAAGGGTCTGTGGAGGCTTTTGCTTCCCCTCTTCAGCCAAAAGACTTCCCCACATGTTACTATACATCTGTAGCTTCAGTCAGGGCATTGTTTTCTTATTTGGTCTCTTACCTGACAGACCTGAAGAGCAGATAGAGGCTTCTAATGATTTAAGAACATTTCTCACTCAAACAATGGCATACTTGTTTTTAAGGATGCATCTCTTTTCTCAGTTTTAGAAAAGATAAATGCTCCTTTTCCACTCCTCAATGACAAAATAGCTCCAGGCAATAAAAAGATTACAATCTTCTGAAGACCATCATCCATTTTCAGCAAATTGAATGCCTTCTTTTCAACCCTACATTCTGGCACTATAACAGTGAAAACAGAACTGCCTCTGTTAATGCTATGAATTTGATACCAACAACAAAGTAAGAAGACCATTTGTGAGTGCTTGCCCTACTTATTTGCTAATTCCCAACCACCAGCACAGCATTTCCTTTTTTCCACAAATCATATCCTTGCAGTATTTCTATAACAGCAAACTGAACAACATAAGCAAATAACTGAGATCAGCTGCCTAATGCCCCCTTTAGCCTGCATGCCCCTCTTACCACACACACACACACACACACACACACACACACACACACACACACACACACACACACACACACCTTGTGTGAAAGAGGCCGTCACATGACGTGACTTGGCCCTTTGATGCAGCACGAAGGGTGGCAGCGAAGCAAGTGACTAGGATTGGGAGCTAATCAGCACAGATTAAGGGGGGATGGGGGTTCCACCTCCACCTTTTTTCAAACTCCACCCCATTTTCTCTTCTAGATGCTCTTATTCTCTTTCTAGTTATTGGCATTTTTTTCATCCAACTTTCTCCCAGTCACTGAATTAGCTGTTTCTCCTTTGCAAACACCTCCCACCCCCCTCCCTCAGTTTTTAATGCCTTCTCCTATCCAACCCCCCCTCTCCAACTTCTCTCACTCCTACTCAATGAGGTATTCATGTGACCCACCTGCTGTCCGCCGCTTAGCGTTAGCCCAACTAAAGAGGCGCTCTGTGCTCTTGTTGGCCGGCGCGGGCGGCCTGCCTCATTCACAGTTCACACGCCTGCCACGAGAAGAAGAAGAAGAAGAGGGGGGAGGTGGTCGTCCAGTAAGGGTGGGTCTCAGGGTGGCATCGGAGCTCAGGCGGGGTTCTGTCGGGCAGAGGATGCTGCACAAGGTTCCTGGATGCCGGTGCACTTGGCTAAAATTTGCCATCATGTTTGGCCTGAGGAGTTCAGGTGGGAGTTACGAGAAGATGCGGAGCGAGTACTACCTAGACGTGGAGAACCCTTTCTGTCCTCAGGTTGGTGTTGCGGGGGTGGTCAGGTTTTGCAAAAAAAAGAAGAGCGAAAGATGGGTGTCATTGTTGTTGAGTGACATAATTCTCCTTATTTTAGATTACATTTATCATGATATAAATGTAAATGTTTTCTCTCTCCGTCTGACTTAAAGAGGGTTCAGATCCTTTCTGTTGCCCGAGCTCGTGTGTGTGTGTGTGTGTGTGTGTGTGTGTGTGTGTGTGTGTGTGTGTGTGTGTGTGTGTGTGTGTGTGTGGAAAATGGTCAGATGAAAGAGCTTTTGTTAGGCTCTACTTGTTACTTCATCTTCAGGGTTTTCACAGTATTTCTTTTTTGAGGTCCTTTTTTCCCCATCACAGGTTAATAGCTTTTCTTGTCTCTGTAAAACCGATATATGTAACACTAAAAGTTGAGTTGTGATGCTTAACTGTATTGAATACATTTTGTTTTAGGTTCTATTTGAGGAAACAAAAACGTGTTCTTCATGTTTGCCTATTCACAAAGTCTTTAATTTTGGCCAAGCCTTTTAAAACCTGTGAACAGTTCTTTTAAATCATTCATTTTTTTGGTCTGATGAAAAGTCAGACATCACATTTCCTAACTTCTCTTCCTCCACAGGTGACCAAGCAGATCCACGAGCATGAGCAGGAGAGCGAGCTGCGGGAGCAGATGTCGGGATACAAGCGCATGCGGCGGCAACACCAGAAGCAGCTGATCGCCCTGGAGAACAAGCTGAAGGCCGAGATGGACGAGCACCGGCTCAAGCTGCAGAAGGAGGTGGAGACGCAGGCCAACAACGCCTACATCGAGCTGGAGAAGCTGGCCAAGCGCCACGCCGTGCATTCTGAGAAGGAGGTGGGATATCTGAAGAGTGTTGAAGCTTATAGGAACCCTAAGTCATATCCTGATGATCGCTCTGAGCAACATGTGCCATGCAACAGTTCAAACTATTCTAAAGCTGAGGAAAGGGCAATAATGTTTTAAAAAACTATCTTTTTGAACCCTAACGTTTTATATTGAATGCTATGAAAAGTTGTGTTGAGCACTGCTGCTACCCAATAGGATGAAACACAAGGGCAGAAGTGGGTCACAGAGTGTCCTAAAACAAGCTGCATATCTCTGCAATTAGCACGCAGCTTGCCAGCCCAGCCATGGAGATAGCACATCTGTTTCTGTAGAACAGCACACAATCTCACATGTGAGAGACAAGTCAATTAGCCAAACCAAAAGGACACTAGACATTGGCTTCATAAGAAAACACCAACAGGCCTGTTGTCTGGAAAAAGTGGTTTTAGCTGTTTCTTTTTATGGATCATATTCATGTTTTGTTATCCTGTAGACGGACTCCTGCACTGTCATTATTAATCTCCTATCAAGACAAATGTACGCATATTGTAATTTCCTTTACATTTATATAAACTGATATTAGTTAACAGCCTATAACATGAAAAGTTTGATCAAACCCGCAAGTCCAATGTCTTTGACTGGTCATACTTGCATATATTATACATGACAAACAGATACAAAGTTAGCCAACATAACTCTGAGGGCTTCAGAAAATAAAAAAGAATAATTTTCTTTGTCAATTTATCTGCAGAATCTCTATTGATTAATATATATTTGTTGTCAATACCATGTAGTTAAACATTTCTGTTAAAATGTCTATGACCTGAAGGTTTCATCTTACTATTTGTTTATCCGACAAACAGCCCAAAACAAAAGAATATACAGATTTAAATGATAAAGAAACAGGAACATGGCTAATCCTATCATCGGTCCATGACCTTTTGTTGACTAAAAGATTTATAATTTTTAAGAATGTTTTTTCATTATTTGTTCATTTATCTCTTAGTACTTAAGATTATTATTTCCGCTGCTAACGGCCCTCGCTCTTTTTTCCTTCACGTTTCATGTGTCCACCAGATGAAGACGGCGATGGCGGATGAGAAGAAGTTCCAGCAGCAGATCGTGGCCCAGCAGAAGAAGGAGCTGACCACCTTCCTGGATAATCAAAAGAAGCAGTACAAACTCTGCAAGGAGAAGATTAAGGAGGTGTGCCGCGTTTTGTTGCTTTCCTTTTTCTCCTTTTGAAAGCCTCTCTGGCGTGTGACACATGGTCCAGCATGCTGTTTACTGTTGAATCAGCCCTCCTCCACACCAACATGCACATTCAGTACCTCAAAAAGCGCTCTTTTGGAAGTTGTGATGAGTCACTCAGCCTACTCATTTTGTACCTACACATGTACATTGACACAAACAAGGAAACCCACAAAACCATATGCACAGTGCGGCGTTCGTGTGCCTCCACAACCTTCTATCTGAGTCCAGAGAATACCCCTGTGGGCTGGGAGTGCGAAACACTGTGTTTTCAGTTAGAAGATAAGTGACCAAAATTAGGTCAGCAGCACAGTTAAAAGAAAGCATCGCTGGCAGGCAGAGATATTTCCCACCAACTGAGGGCTGTAACGGAATTAGACACCACAGAGAACGGGGATCAGGCTCATGTGCTAAGTGCATTAGCTCGAGTTGTAGATTACCTTAAAGCCCATGAAAGAGAACTCATACCGAGGAGGGATAGACTTGGTTGGAAGGAAAAATACAACCCTCCTCTGGTTATGAAAGTCATTTGTAGTTTCTAGACAGAAGGTCAACTGGAGTTTGCCGTATGCTCTCACTACAAATACTTGATATTGTGAACACTAGTCTCTATTTAGGCAGTGTTTATGGAAGCATTGTTTATTATCACATTCAAAACATGCATGTGAAATACATTGTTTGGACATCTTCAACTACTTTAGACTATTTAATTGTTTTAATATAGAATATGAAGACATAGTTCCTCCCCAACAGCCCACAATGGCTACTCCCATTCTTACCATTGTTTTTATCTTGCCAGTTAAACTCATATTTGCCTACACAAGTCAAACTTAAATCACAGCTCAAATTCCTTGATAACTGGCCACAGCCTAAATCTGACTCTGCTTTTTGACCTGTCATTATTCAAACAAGTCATTCATAATTCCTCAAACTCTCTGCTTTGAACTTTAGCAGACTCTATGCATTACATTAATGCACACAATGTTCACAATATCTGTTAGATTTTTTATTATTACTGCACATATTTGATTCCACTCTATTTCATTGACTGCTATTTACTTTTATGTATGCACCACAACACCATGTCAAATTCCTCGTACGTGTCAACCTACCTGGTAATAAACCTGTTTCTGATTCTCTCTCAGGAGATGAACGAGGACCACAGCACCCCCAAGAAGGAGAAGCAGGAGCGCCTGTCCAAGCACAAGGAGAACATGCAGCACTCCCAGGCCGAGGAGGAGGCCATGCTGCTGGCCCAGCAGAGAGTGTTCTACGACAGGAACTGCCGCGCCTTCAAGCGCAAAGTCATGATTAAGAGGCACGACCTGGAGCAGGAACAGATCCGAGAGGTGCGAAAGAACCTTAAAGTTGTTGTTTTTGCGAATAAATAATTTGATAATAGTTTCATTACAACAACAATAACAACAACAACACCAGTGTTAAAGACCAGTGTGTCTTGAATACACCCATTGTCTTTAGATCTGTGAAGTGTAAGAAGATTATTACAGAGAAAAGCTCTTTTGTGGAGTCTTAGGGTTTTTTGTATTTCCCGCACATCACCCTCTGAGTTACATTTTAGGTTATACTTTCAATGTTTTGGTTTAATAAAAAAAAACTTATAAACAAATAGGAACCTTTTAATTTGTGATATATATTGATTGCTGTTGAATATAGCTGCATATTTTGTATTTATTATTTGTATTTTATATACGCTTACTAGTCCCATAGAGGGGAAATGTACATTCTGCATTCGACCCATCATAGTGTAAGGAGCAGTGGGCTGCCATTATGCCAAATGACAAACAGACAAAAAGTTATTTAAATGTGAATCACGCATATAAAACAAGCTGATCCCAGAAGGTTCACCAATAGCACCTGCTGCTACATCATTGCCCTCTCCTCCTGCATGTCTCCTAGGAGCTGAACAAGAAGAAGACCCAGAAAGAGATGGAGCACGCCATGCTGATCCGCCACGACGAGTCCATGCAGGAGCTGGAGCACCGGCAGCTGAAGACGCTGCAGAAGCTGCGCATGGACCTGATCCGCCTGCAGCACCAGACGGAGCTGGAGAACCAGATCGAGTACAACAACCGGCGAGAGCGAGAACTCCACCGCAAACACGTGCTGGAGCTCCGGCAGCAGCCCAAGAACCTCAAAGTGAGTCGGGAAAAAAGTCTTTCAAAGATGTGGTTATTGTCGTACAGGTGCTTTAATGATGCATTTTTTCACAAGTCTTTGAAATCACAAATTGGATCCACCTCTAAGATGGCGCAAGCAATGAGCAACCTCTCTATCTTTGGAAAGATTTTGATAACGCAGTGATGCAATGTGGATGTAATGAATTAGTTGGAAGAAATGGTGAAAGAACACACTAAATGTGTCATCTCTGAGAGTCATTTCAGTGTCATCTGCTCTTGAGGATAACGCAGAGGGATTTTAGCCACAGGCTTTTCTAAACCTTTCAACTTCAGCAGGGGTGGGAGAAGGGTTCAGATGCTGAAGCACCAATACATTATTGTCAAAATACTCCATTACAAGTAAAAGTCCTTCATTTCAAACCTACTTAAGTAAAAGTACAATTGTATTTTCAGAAAAATTGACTTAAGTAAGTAGAAGTAAACATTGTGCAGAAAATGGCCTTCATGAGTGTATATAATTATTAGGGCCGGGACGCGATTAAAAAAATTAATCTAATTAATTACAGGCTTTGTAATTAATTAATCGCAATTAATCGCATTTTTAATCGCATATAAATATTTGACCTGAGAACAGTGAGAAGCAATTTTTTTCACATGGATTTTAGTATACCATTGAATAATGACTGAATACATAAGCTTAAGCAACAAAACATTGTTTATTTTTTTCAAGGCTATACTTAACAAAGACCAACAGAAAAGTGAAATTTTTGCCATAAAGTGTAGCAATAGCATATTTAGGAATACAGTACATTTCAGAGATTCAGGTAGCCTATAGGTAGGTAGACCTTCTGTAAACTATAACACTTTGTTTTTGAAGTATAACACAATACTTTCAAGTACATTCAGAACATTGGAAACCCTGACTATTAGAAAACATCTCTCTGTTGCTTCAGAGGCCATAACAGACTTTGTTGATTTACCAACAGTTGATTTAAAAAATCTAATCAATTTCAGTCCAACTCTCTCAATAACCTTGGCCAAAACAATAAACAGTTCAACATAAAGTGCCAGTTGCACCAACAACGT